ATATATATATAATATTTTTTATATACTTTGTGCACATCAAATGAATAACTCTAAAATGAATGTCATCAGTAAAAGTAGTCTTGTTTGTCACAAAACAGGGAAAGTGAAACGTATTATTAACTGTTAGTTCCGTAACATAACAACATGTCAAGTGATCAATTAGCTTTCTCCCTTTACAGTTTACCATTAGTATTTAAAATATGCCACAGACTACAGCACATCTATTTTCTTTGCTTCCTGTTTGAATATTTAATGACATAGTTAAGAGTTCAAATGCTATGGCATTTTCACTCTACATCTTTACACTTATTCTTCTTGTAGTGAATACAGTGAGAAGAGTTTGAAAAGATGGACTGTGACCATGAGGATGAACACGGTGGCCGGTCACTAACTGGATCGGAATCCAACCTTCGTGAAGATGAGCTGCAAAATAGTTCAGTTCTTAGTACATCAACTTTTCAACACACTGGTAAGACTTTTCTATTCACTTTTAATACTTCAGTATAGAGGAAAAGAGCAACTAATAGTGTGGTTTATTTATTTTACAGAGTCATCTGATGTAAAAGACTTGGAATCTACTAGAACATGTCTAAAGGATTGTGAATTATCACCAACTGATGAACTCTCTGGGAAGGAAAACTTATGTCTTATTTCCCCTCTTTGCAAATCGAAACCACTAGCATTTGGTAAATGTCCTTCACACTACCATTCATTTTTTAAACTAACATCCAAATAACTTTATTATTAGAATCTCCTTTTTTTTATAGATGTGCATATCAAAGAAGTCCCAACAGATGTGAAAAATCAATTTCAGAATGTTTTAAACCCACCTGGCAGTGACATCAGCGATGCTTTTCCTGTCTGCGTTCAGCTAGCCACAAATCATCTTAAAAAGTCACATATCACCGCTTATAAAGCAACACACCGTCATCGCAAAATCAGCCGGTCCTCCACCTCCACACTGAGTCGTATGAGCCTGAAAGCCCCTGTTGAAGGTAAGCAACACCTCAAATCACATTTGACTCAATGAAATGAGTTATTAAATTTTGATGACATCTAATGCATTATAGATGCTGAAATCCTCGCTAGCACGACTGACAAGCTTTCCCTCTTCCTGACATCTTTTATCGTAATTATGATGATAAATTGATGAGGATGCACACCAAACTTGGTGTGGTGCTGATTAGTAGTATAAAGGCTCTTAAGCTTACAAAACAGGATAGCAGTTTTATGATGAGCTACACTGTTAGCAAAACTGCTTTATTTGTGGTTACCACATCAATATTTTGTCAGTGATTCAGCCATTAATGGAATATTCTAGGTTCAATACAACTTAAGCTCAGTCGGCACTTGTGTCACAATAGTGTTGATTAACACAAAAATTTATTTAGACTTTTCTTTAAAAAACAAATCTGGTTTACAGTGAGGCACTGTAAAGTAAGTGAATGAGGCCAATCACTGTTTTAATAGTAAGTATAGCAACAAGACGTAAACTATTTGTGTTAACATGATTTTATTGTGAAAATCAGTTTCTGACGTTTTTCTGTGTAAAGTTATATAAATGTTAAACCTTTGTTGCTATGACAATGTAATGCTTAAAAAACTGTAAAATGACGATTTAAAGGAATAGTTCACCAAAAGTGAAAATTTGCTGAAACTATACTCACCCTCAGGCTATCCAAGATGTAGATGAGTTTGTTTCTTCATCACAACAGATTTGGAGAAATGTACCATTACACTTGGTCACCAATGGATCCTCTGCAGCGAATGGGTGCCGTCAGAATGAGAGTCCAAACAGCTGATAAAAACATCACAAAAATCCACAAGTAATCCACACAACTCCAGTTGATCAGTTAACATCTTGTGAAGCAAAAAACTGATAGTCTGTGAAAAATATGTCCGTCATTAAGACATTTTAACTTTAAACCATTGCTTCATGGCCATATTGTTTTGGACTGTTTTTGCCTGTAAATGGTGTTTGATCTGAGCATATTTCTCTCCTGAATCACACTAGATGACTTTTTATTGGAGAAAGCATTATTATGGATAGAGGTAGTTAAAATCCTAATGATGGATTTGGCTGTTACAAACAGGCAGCTTTTTACTTCACAATTTAATTTAACAGTTAATTGATGGACTGGAGTTGTTTGGATTACTTGTGGATTTTTGTGATGTTTTCATGAGCTGTTTGGACTCTCGGCACCCATTCACTGAGGATCTAATGGTGAGCAAGTGATGCAATGCTACATTTTTCAAATCTTTAGGTGAAACAAACTCATCTACAATTTGGATGACCTGAGGGTGGGTACATTTTCAGTAAATTGTCATTTTTAGTTTAACTATACCTTTAAACAGCTTGCAGCTCAAATAATACACAAGATTTAACAGAATTAATGTAAGTGCTTTTATAAAATTATAAGATGATTATTATAAAGCCTCATATACTTTTAATGTAAATGCCTCACCATAACCTCAATGTGTGCTTTTTAAAAGAAAAGGAAAAAAAAACAAAAAACAGATATGAGTTGAAATAATTTTTTTGTGGTAATCAACATTATGCCACAAATGTCGACTATCTTGTATTGAATGCAGAATAAACATTTAATCTTAAAAACGTCTTTTTTTTTTTTTTGGCTTTTTCCTTGCACTTCTAGACCTGTGTGCATCCTTTCTGTTGGCGTGTTTGTTCTGCAAGTTTTGGGATTGCGTGCTGGCCGTTGGTGATGGATGTCAATACTGCGTGGCCTCTATCTGTTCGTCCTTCTGCTCTAACGCATGCTGTTGCAACCCTTCCAATCTGGAGGACTTTATAGATTTTTGCCCATGTTGCAGCTGCACTGAATACATGGAGGCTTGCGGCTGCAGTTGTGGAGAAAACGCCTTTGACTGCTCCATTTGCGATCTCTGTCTACAGACGACTGAGTGTCTGGAACTAGGCATGGAACTCTCTCAGCTTCTGTTTCACTAGCTGCTCATGACATCTCACACTCATTTATATACTACTCATGACAATCACATAAAGCTGGAATGGAATGTAGCAAATGTAATGTGCTGATTTCACAAGCATGTAAATCTGCTGGTTGATTGTGGCTGTGATATTGCACACCTGCATTTGATACTGCATTAGAGGAAAAAAAAAATCATATGCTGTTTACTTGTCACCTGAAGCAGATGATATTGAAATGGTAAAAAGTTTTGTATATATATATATATATATATATACAGTGGTGTGAAAAAGTGTTGGCCTGAAATAAGAAATCAGGAAGGGGGCCAACACTTGTATACTGTATATATATATATATATAATGAAAATAAATTGCTAAAATACATTTATTGGCCAATTTTGTGTTACGCAACAATGATTTGGCAATATGAGATTGCATTATACTAAACATGTTATATTCTGTCCTTGAATTAAAAATATAAAACAGCTGTCTTGATTTTTTTAAAGGTCCTTTGTGTGAAATGGATATGTGTCAATGTATATGAAGAGTTTATTTGCAAAAACAGATAACTGTTTTTATAAATTTTCATAAATCATGTATTTTATTGTGTTATATTTTTTGTGTGTTTTGTTGTGTTAGTTAGCTGTATTTTTTAATTATTATTATTTAATCAAAACAACCCAACTGCAGTTTGATTGATATTAATTGGAATGCAGGATTTAAAAAAAAATATTTTTGTTACCTGTTTTTGCAAATGAATTCTTCATATGTATACTGTATGTAAGTCAGTGTATACATAAGTACTAGATTTGTTTACCTAAATCATTTGCGCATCAAATCTAGCACATTAAATTAATTTTGAGATAATACTGGAAGTGAATATGCAAATGGAAAACACTGAAAAACATGTTTAAATAATGTTTTTTTCTCATCAGTTTATTTTAGCCAATTAAAGGCCACCAACACACAGGAAAATCCTAATTAAAATACATTTTCTCTCAATTATAAATTATGTGCTTTGAAAAAACTTGTTTACAAAAAAGAACAACACCTTCCCTTTATTTGAGTACAGATGTAATGAAAGTAAAGGCAATGACACACACCAGCAACAGAACAATAACTGGCAATTTAGCTTTAATGAGTGGAAATATGTCTTAATGCTTATTTCTAAGTACTGCACTGTCAGCAAATGAGACAATAAAAAATATTATTGCTGTGTGAATTCACATAATTAAATAATTTCAAACGTACGCCCATTCTGTGCCTTTGACAGAAAAAAGGGAAACTGCAATCACATTCACATTCAAGTTTTTAAATATATTTTACAAGTCTGCATTTAGCTTTGAATCATATAGTTTTATATTATACATTCATTTGAATTGCTGCAGTATTAATAGAGAACAACTTTTAAACCTTTCAAGACTCATTTGTATTCATTTTTCTATATTTACAAACCAAACAAATGACTTTTGTTCCTTTATGCTAAAGGCACAGTTTGATCAGAGAGGACACTTCATTTGGCTTTTACCGGCAGTACTCTTAATGTCATATTTCTGAGCACAACACAGATTTGTAAGTTCATTTTCATAACATTTACATACGCAGGTAAGTGTGTATTTAGCTGCATCTAACAAATTGCTGATTTAGATCTACTGGTTAAAAAAAGCACTTTAGGCAGAGGTAGCTTGTAACATTTTATACCTGAAAAGCTATTTGTGTATGATGTTTATGTGGCTTGTTTCCTTATATCATCCTAAAAATCGGTAACACTTTACGCAAAATTCATTGACACTAGTTAATGCGTAATGGTATCATGAACTAACAATGACCAACAATTTTTACAACATAAATAAATCTTAAATGTTAATTTATAAATATACTACTGTACAGTATATTGTTAATATTAGTCCATAATTACATTTTATTTATACATTTAAAATTTGTAGAATGTATTACTATATATTTTAAAATGAATTAGTATATGTAGAAATGGATGTTTTTCATGATACCTGATGTATTAAGTAATGCTACTGAATTAATTGAAGATACAAATGTATCTTATTGTAAAGTGTTACCAAAAATCATGTATGAGCACCTGCACCATCACACATTTGTTTAGCAATGTAACATTGAAGAAGGTCAAACTAACTAACCATAAAAGGAAGTGTTGTAAACTAACAAATAAAATGTCGAAATTTCAAACCAGTTAGTAGTAAATATGCAAGTACTTGGCTGAAAGTAAAGCCAGCAAAGAGTGTTAAAAAATTACATTTTCTGATATATGCAGAAATATTGCTTGAACTTTTTCAACATAATATGAATAATGAGTTCATGCTATCAAACAACTGGGAAACATCCCTTTGGTGCGATAAGTGACTACTCACGCCACACTCCAAAATCATATATATATGTGCACTTGCATGCTCTGAATGCAGTCTAAAAACACATATCTAAAACAATAATAAACATCACATGATTAAAGCTTAGAGCAACACAGCTATGCATAGAAAGGCTAAAATGTCCTAAACTTTAGCTACAAAAAGGCTAATTGTTTTGGATGCGTTTCAAATTTCTGATAAACCTTTGGGATCACTGACTGCCTACAAAACTGTGTAATACTATAGTTAATTTTGTATTTTTTTTTAATTAACTGATACATAGACAGCACAACACGTGGAGTGTTTCCAGGGATAGTCGACCAAAAAATGTGGCATTTCTGGAGAACACAAAAGAAGATATTTTGAAGAAAGTTGGTAACCAATCAGCTTTGGTAACCACTGAGATCATTTCTCAAAATATCTTCTTTCAAGTTCCACAGAAGAAAGAAAGTCATACAGGTTTGGAACAACATGAATTTTCATTTTTGGGTGAACAATCTCTTTAAAATCATCCCATGGCATCCCACACAAGCAAAAGCTCAGAAACATACATTTTAGTGGTCAGTTCGGTCACAAGTCGTCCTCCATGGCCACGCTACTCCTGCGGCTGCAGGTCTTGGAGGCTCCAGAGGACACTGGGGAGAAGAGCGTATCTGAAGGCCTGACCGTGGGCATCGTGCAGCCGTCATCCATCAGTATGTCACTAAGACCCACGTCAGGGTAGAGATCAGAGGCCGAAGCATCGTCCAGCTCCGCAAAACTAAACGTATCCAGATTGAGAGGGCCACTTACTGCTGCAGCAGCTGGAGAGCTGGAGGAAGGTATTGTGAGGAATGGAGAAGTCTGCGTCATGACTCCATCCATGCTGAGGTGGCTCTGAGGTTGGCCTTCCACAGAGCCAGGCTGCATGGACTGGTTTCCTTGTAGTAGCTGTTGCTGAAGGAAGGAAGCGTCTGCGCTCAGGCCTGGAGACATAGCGCTGGAGATGCGCAGGCCATGATGACTAGCTTGCATCTCTAATTCCTGTGTGCAACAAACAGCAGGGGGTGTTGGAGTCCATCTTTTTACAGGATATCACAGTGTTCAGTTTTGCAGTATTTACATTCACATTTATGTTGATGGCGTGTTCATGCCATCCTGCAGGTGAAATATTGCATAATGGAAAATGAATAAATATTGATAATTTGGTGGAGGAGGTGAAGATATTAGTATGGGATTATGTGTTTTTGGCTACAGACAGGAAAGCGAACATCCTTGTTTGGACTTTGTACTGTATTTCAAAATGACTGTTGATCATATACCTGTATGCGGAGCAGCAGGGCCTGGTTGGATTGCTCCAGTTTCTTCTGCCTCATCTCAATCTCTTTGGCCCTCTGTTGCTCTTTCTGAAGTTTTCTTATATAATCAACAGAAGCCTTCAAAATGGTTCCTTTGTTCCAGCGCATCTCCCTGCAATTTTAACCAGACAAGATGTAAATAGTATGCAAAAACAGTAATATGGTGAAATATTATTACAATAAAAAAAAATGTAAAAAAAATTATTGTTTTAAAGGGGTCATATGATGCGATTTCAATTTTTCCTTTCTCTTTGGAGTGTTACAAGCTCTTGGTGCATAAAGAAGATCTGTAAAGTTGCAAAGACTAAAGTCTCAAATCCAAA